TTTTTTTCCAGCGTAAAACCAGACATTCATTTATTCAAAATAAAAAAAATACTCCAGCAATGACAGCTTGTACACATCTAAAAGCAGCAGAAATAAATACACATTTATCATGGCCAAGTTCTTCAGTCACAGTGTGACTTTAATGCTCATTGAGATCATTACAATTCAAATCATAATCATGTCACCTCTTTATGAGAGGGCCACTTGAGTCACACAAAACCACACCATTACAAATCTGCTGTTTTGTCTGTCTGTTTGTTTGTTTTCTATTTTATTTATTTGTTTGACTTACTTTCTGCCTCTGGTCGAGTTATAACTCCCTCCATATTTCTTCCGATTAAGGATGAGAGCAGCAATTTCTGGCACGTAGCGAGCAAACATGGCCTACATGCATGGAAAAGAAAAAGAAAAGGGCATGCAGAGAAGGTTCTACTGCGGCGGAGGCAGTAGAGCCTCCTTGAATACTTACTTTCTCCCATTAACCGCACTATAGGAACCACCATATTTCTTGCGGTTTCCTATTAACTCTATGATTTCAGGGACGTAGCTTGCAAACATGGCCTAAGGAGAAGATAGGAGACAGAAGAAGAGACTAAAAAAAAGACAAGCAAAGAAGAGCAGGTCCTCTATTTTAACTTTAGAGAAATCTGTGAAGTCTGAAAGAGGAGCGCTACTCTACGAGTAGGTTTTTTTTTATGTGTTAACAGGAAAACGGTAAAAGAGAAAAAGAAACGTGTAATTATTCAAATTGACTGAAGAAAATCATGTGAATGTAAGCTGAAGTTATGTCACAGTTACATTCACAATAGAGAAAAAGTATGACAATGGAATCCAGTTTAAAGGCTAATATTTTCAGATACTGAAAGAATAAAGGAGAAAAATGAAAGCAGATGAGCGATATGTTGAAGAAAAAGAAAAATTTGAAAAATTAAGAAAAAACCTTATGTGCCATGTTTCGCCCAACAAACACACGTCGGGTTGATTTCAGTAGCACAGCTCAATGGATGGCAAACAACTTATGGCTGCATGCCACTGCCCAACCACCTGAATATTCCTGCGTGGAGGAGGCAGACGTGCCAGCTTACAACAGATCCAAGAAATTTGTATAAAATTTGTTTTTGTTTTTCTTTTTACAGTGTTTTTAACAAAACACCTCAGGCTTTCCCCTTCAAGCTTAGAAAAATCTATCAGCATAAAATATATTTTGTATTTTGTTGTTCTGACCCTTCAAATTAATTACCAATCAATTCATTATTTAGACCTCTGCTTTTCATTGTATTGCCCTACAATAATAGAGAAATAAAGCTGCACAGTGCCCTCCAGTGGGCAAACTACACAATGTCGATTAAGACTTCTGGCTCTAATTTAACTAACAGTATAGATAACCACTCTCATTCTTAATGACGTGTAGCACAAAACAAAACGCAATCGAAGGGAAAAGTGGGCCTGATTACACCCTTTGAAGGTCTGCAATTGGCTTGATGTCTGTTTCACACTGGTGATTTTACAGGCCGCTGTGCAGGTGAATGAAAACTGAAATATTTGGAAAAAATCTTCACCAGAGATTATTATTAGCCTTTATTATGTTTACACTGGTCATCAGACAATACTTTCTTTCAGGTTGAAACATTATTTTATGGTTTTTTCGCATAATTTTGAGCAAAACGAAAACATTTCAGGTTTAGACGACTGAAAAGTTGCTTTAATATACCTCAATCTTACCTCAGTTTAATCCAGGTATTTGATCATATTAAAGTACTGTATGTCCACGCTGAATAATACTTTATAATCCGGTTAACTTTGCCCTCTAAATTGTCATTGCCTATTTTCTTTATCAGGTAATTCGGGTCTGTGTTAAATCCCCGACGGGATATTTTCTGCCAGACTATTCTGAAAGTTGTGCAGGAAGAGGACAGCAATGTTGCTACATCCATATAAAGCTGGGCTGTCATGAATCAACTCTATCTCACTGTGTTTGTTGGAAAGAGGGAGGGAAGGCAGGAGGGTGGAGCCACCTGAAATCCGTAGTACCTTTACAGTTAATAACAGATGCAAAAATTCTCAAATATTCTACATGTCATTTAAATCAAAACTTCAGCATTATAGCAAAATCAATGCTGCAACACTGTGGACAACTCATACAGTACATGACATGCAACATACTGTGGTGAAGTGGTGAGCCACAAATACACTTCAATGTGAACAACGGGTGAAGCGGGCGTCTCGACTTAAGTCCCAGCATTTATGTGATGGAGGATTTTAAGCGGGAATAAGTAATGAGAGGGATTTTTACCAAACCACCAAGGATGAAGAAGACCATAAACAGGCGGCCCAGGGTGGTTTTTGCATACACGTCTCCATAGCCAACAGTGGACATTGTAACCATGAGTAAGTAGACACATTCCCAGTAGGAAAGTGCCTGGGAATTTTGGAAGTTTTCCCAAGGATCCCCTGAGTTTTCCACCTGGAACAAAGGTCAGAATTTACACAACGACCACGGAAAACACACAGGTCTTTGATGAAGCAGTAAATAATTACTGATAATAGGCATCCAGTTGCTACACAGCACCACCACATTTTCACCTAACTTACCAAATGAATGAACCCTGCTGCAGTTAGCCATGTGCTTATGAAGATTGAACACAGGTTCACCAGCTTAATCGAGTTGCTATGTTAGAAAGAGCCAGACAACAGAAGATGAAGTATTAACTGTAGCTGTTACACCGGGATAAGAAGGTACGTACAGCCAAACTGGAAGCCCTAGCTCACACAAAAATTCAGTCTATGCTTTAAAACACATAAGTCTGAGAGTGAAATCAGAATTAGGGTTCAACCTGAACTATTAAAATAAGCAACATGAGAGATTTAAGCTCTTAAAACCGTAGCTCCTACTCGAATTTATAGCTTGTACTTTTTCTTGTGTTATGGTTAGTCATGCTATTCTTGTTACATATGGCTTTGCAAAAAAAAATAAAAAATCCAAGCAGGCTCCAAGATATTTTCATCATATACAGCTGAAAGTTAAACCTAATGTCAGTGTAAACAAATGCATTATAAAAGAGTCTGCTATCTTTAATGCGTACTATAATCAGGATTTATTAAGTATTGCATGTTAATGCAGTGCTGTCCCTGTTTGACTTCTATCCACTTCTTTGTCTGTTCTGTCAAGTGAGGATTATTCTAAAGCATGTCGATATACTCAAAGCTCTTTCTGACGTGACATCTGTGCAAAACTCTTTAATTCTAAGCAGAAGGGGCACATCAGCAATCTCTTTTGTTCACGACTGCATGATATGGTACGGTGATATAGTTCAGTGTGCACAACGCAGTGCAGAGAAATACACTTGATGTCAGCGTTCGCCAAATGAAAGCTTGTGTTTATTTTGCTGTCAAAATAAAACTACATTCTTTCTTCGCTTGAAGCAAAAGGCAGGTGAAAAACAAACTGTCAGCTGTATGAACAAAAAAGAAGAAGAAAAAGCATCAAAAAACTTACCTTGTCTTTAGTATATTCAAAAACTGTAAAATTTCTGAGAACTGTATCAATCTTAAGGCCCTTAAAAACCTCAAACCTGTGAGAAAATAAACATAAAACACTGATTAGCAACAAGTCAGGCATCGTGAGTGATATCTGATCGTCATTTAACAACACCGTACCTTTCATACTTTCATCCATGTTTACAAGCTTCATTGGATTCATATTGACAAAAAGTAAAGTCCAACAGATCGACAGGTACTAAGCACTTAGGATATTAAAAGAAAATATTTGAAATATTTGTGGGGAAATAAAGCATAATAAAAAAATCACAAAACAAGCTCGGCATCCCAGATCTTCATCAACTCATAACACTGTGTTTTAATCTCAGGAGCCCCGCTCTGCACCGGCATCTACCTGATACGTGCGTCATTCCCAGTGGATAAAACTGAACGTGGACGAGATGAAAACCTGGATTAGAGTAAAGACAGGTGGATGCCGCCAAATTGAATGAGTAAACAGATGTGACGTCAAATCCTAAATTTGAGGGTATTTATTTGTTGGGAGAAATAAATGGAGCCGGTGCACGCTGCCAACAGTCCAAGGACGGCAGAACACCAACAAACGCCAGCCTGAGCTCCTGCTCATAATCACCACTTGGCTGTATTCACATTCAGGTTAAATGACGACCGTGTCATCGCGTGTTTAATGCCGTTACTGTCGATAAGCTCAGATGATCTGCCACAAAATCACATCTGATAAAGTCAAATATTTGCGCTACGCTTCGTCACCGCACTGCAGCAAACAGCCTGCTAAAGGGCGCCTCATATCTGTGCTTGAAATCTAAATGATTCATAGAACTCACTCGTTTTGAAGAAGAAAAAAAAAAGCTGCACCACTCACAGTGTTTGAGCTGCATAAAAAAATTAAACGCCACCTCAGCCAAGAGAGAGCAATCAAGTTAAATCCGTATCCCTCTGCATTAATTGGGATGATAAATTCTCCTGCTGGAGTGGATTTGTGTGAATGCCAAGTGACACAAATCAAAGACATTACAGGCAATCATTCAGTGAGAGAAAATAAAAATAAATCATCTTTTTTTTCTCTTTTTTTTATAACAACTGTGTTATGCCTTGCCAAGCGAGTGTTTGCCAGATGGAGAGCATAGCACAGAGCAAATTTTGAACATGCTCCAGCTGACCCACAGCATCCAGCACAGGGCTTTAGAAAGAGATTCCCCTCCGCTCTCACGTCCTGAGGATCTTACCCCAGTAGGAGATTACATGGAAGCATGCACCGAAGCTGTAGCAAATGCTGTCCTGGTCCTCTTTATCAATCACCTGGCCGTGGCCCATCCTCACCCTGTAGCCATTCTGGAAGAGCTCCCCGGTGGATTTTTTCCGTCTTCTTGTACTAGAAACCTTCTGGGAGTGTGTGCCTCCATCAGGCCCCCTGTACACTAACATCTTAGTAGGAATCATGTCTAGAAATTGGGTGAAAGTCTTCAGCTTTAGTCCGAAATCTACTTCACATCCACGTCTTCACTGTTCTTCGTCTGCCTTACCAAATATTTCACATGAAAAAAAAATTAAAAAATCTCCTCCAGAATATTAAAATTTTTTTAAAAAATCCACAAAAACAGCCAGGTGCTTTCATGGTTCATATTTGCACCCGACCGGCTCAAAAACAGGTCTTTTTTTCGAAGAAGCATTTTGATCTGATTTACCTCGGACCTTCACAGTATCCTCGTGGCGAGCTTAAAGCAAACCCTTTTCCCATCAGGATATTAGAGTGTAAGCTCCTTTAGGAATCATCCAGGGAAAGGAAGAGGCCAGACAGCAAGTCTGTCCATCAGCTGGCTTCACAATGTAACCATCCCAATAACACGGCAACTGCTGCTGACAAACCAAATTTCATTCTCTAATCTTGGAAAGGCACAGAATGTATTGTAGTCTCACATTTAGAGCAGGAAACAAGATGTCATGTGAACAGTAAAGCTGTGTAGGGAAAAATGAAAAGCTTTGGCAATCACTGTTGTGTTTTACTATGGATTTAGTGCTTCAACAATAATCCCTAAATTAATCGTAGCTGATGTAATAGCTGTTATTGTAGTTATACAAAAGAAAATACATGAACTGAAGTTCATTCATTCATTCATCCTTTTTAGTGCATTTCAGAATACAGAGCAGTTCAATTAAAGGACTCGTTTTAATATTTAAGTGATATTAAGAGTAATCTGAAGAGAACTAACTGAGAAAAGAGTGAAATTTTAAAAAGAGGGTTTTTTTACAGGTCCTGTAATTAACTGAAATGTATCTGGGCTCTTTATCCTCTTTATTTATTTAACATATATCACAAATATTTAAATTCGGTTACACTGGTGCACATCGGTGCAGTTAGAAAGGTACGTAAAAGAATAACAGAGCTGTAAAAAATAATCTGAGCTCATTTTACTACTTCAGGACTTCATTGTTCTTACTAATTCATGACTCAGATATCAGTCCACGAAGTGTTGCAAAGAGATGTAAGTGAAGGCGCTAAAAGCCAAAAACACTTGGAACCACAGATCAGTAAACTAAACATGCAAAATATGACATTTTTCTATGAGCAAATATGCATGTCAACTTACACTCACCAGCCACTTTTTTAGGTACACCTGTTCAACTGCTTGTCAATGCAAATATGTGATTAGCCATTCACATGGCAGAGTGCTTCAAAGTGATAAAAAGACCAAGATATGCAGAAAAGCATCTGTGGACAAACTCTGAAGCAGATGGGCTCCCACAGGAAAAGACCACATCAGATTCCACTCCTCAGCTAAGTTGTTTTTGTGGGGAATATTATCTTCACATACTGTGGGCCCCTTAGTAGCAACTGAGTATTATTTAAATGTCATGGCCCACCTGAGTATTGATGGTGATGATATTCATTACTTTATGACCATAGTGTAACCGTATCCTGATGGCTGCTTCCAGCAGGATAACATGCCATGTCACAAAGCACAAATCATTTCAAACAACAACAGAGCACCTTTGTTATGTTGTTGTATAGGAGATTGTGGATGTGCAGTTGACAAATCTGCAGCAATTGCATGATGCTGTCATATCACTATGGAACAAAATCTCTAAAGCATTTTTCCAGCAGCTTGTTCAACCTATGCCACAAAGAATTAAGGAAGTTCTAAAGCAAAACAGGGCAGAACCCAGTGCTAGTAAGGTGTACCTAATAAACTGTCCAGTGACTGCATACAAAGCATAAAAACCCAGAACCAAAAGCTATTATCTTTTCAGCTGCTGCAGTTTGTTTCTGCGTGAAATATCTGAAGGCATATTCTCCGCAACATCCAAAATGTGTGTCATGCTCGCACCCCGAAGCCTGTCATGCATCAATGAGCTTGTTAATGTGTGATAATATTGGTGCAAACTGGATGTATTTGTGTCAAAGCGTTCAGACAGCAGGACTGGCAGATTGGCAGTTCAGCTAAGCACTCAGTGAAATTTGGACTTTCGAAGGGAAGAGGCAATTCGACAGCAGCTGAGCCGGTGCGACCTCATCACTTGTTTGACCTCAGTTCAGCCACACACTAAATCCTCCATGACCAACTGCACCGACCATACTGAAAGAGATTAAGATGCTTTCCATTGAAAAAGAAAGAAAGAAAAAAAACAACAATAGATTTTTATGCTTGGAGTTAAGAGCGATCAGCAGAAATCATTTTTTTTCATCTGTAAAATTAAATAGACCACTCTATTCTATAAGTGTCCCAGTGAGCCAGCATGGGCAGGATGACACCCTCAAAACTAAAGCAGTTAAATGGAATAATTTAGTATGAATTACCAACAATTTTATTATTTACAGCTCTGCTTTTAATTCGCAAACCATGCCCGAATATCTTTGTTCTAAACCCTTGACAGTAGCCTACGAGTACAATATTAAAAAATAATATCCCGCATACAGCCTGCGCATGTGTAATTTCATTCTCTAGACATCCTTCTATCTCCTGTCCATGCACCTGATGTGTGACAGGAAGCGCTCTGTTTTGGCTTGTATGAAATACAGTGAAATGAGTCACGCAGGGCTGAGCGAACAACAAAAGCAACAACACCTACACAAACAGTAACAGCGGAACAACGGGGTGCTAACAGTAATAACCGAATCTCAGTGCTGCTCACGCTGTTTGACAATTTAGCAAATGCAGCCTTAACCGAACAAACCTATGTACATAGGCAGATTCTCAGAAGGCTCCTGTTGGCTATATGAGTACTGACAAGAGAAATGTTGTCATATAATGTAAACTATTAGAGGCGTATCAAAATATATGTTGATATTATGACCATGATTTGAGTCATTTGCTAATCTGCGCTTCTTAGACATAAAGATATTAGAAGCGATCGACTGATAATGAAACAAACTGTGTGTCCGAACCACAATATCACTCTAACATTATGTGGATAATAGTGATTTAATCACTGTGACATGGCTGTTGTGTTTCTTGACAACAAGCAGACATATTTGTTGTGTTAGTAAGCCTTAGACTGCTATGATAGATGGAAAACCAACGCTGAAACTGAACAGAAGTGTTCCTACAGTGTCATTCTGCTCTGCTACGTGGATGAATGACTTTTACATCATCTCTAAATAAATATTCTTCTCTTTTGATGCACTGTCCATAAATGCTAACTGAGTTCCAAAAGCAAAGCAACAACCAGTGTGCACACATTGTGAAATTTTGCAGATTAAATAATCCAACAAAAACACAGAAATTGGACCAGACATCAAGTACAAGTACAAATACCATTAAGGAATTGATGAGTAACACAATAACTATATGTAAATGTATATAACACTATAGACAGTCTACTACCAAGCAAGTCTACAACATGTATAAATAAAATAACAATCTGATATCCAAAAGACAGCCGATCAGCTAAAACGCACGCTATACTCCCATGTGTCCACCAGATGGCAGCAACACCTGCTCAGTGAGAATGCACAGGCACATTATTGAAGTGTAGTAATCAGGCTGTTCTACTAACTTAAGAGGGTAGAAGTGTTTCATTGCTGAAAGCATAGCTGGTGTTGGTTATATGGAAGGTTTGTTCTTCAACCCCTCAACTTAATCCCCTAATTTCTCACAGACCTCTCCGAGTGATGAGCTTCAGACATTTAGAAGATTGACTTGCATTCTTGCGCTCGAGCCCTCAACAAAGCCTATTACCTTTTTTTATCCTTTCGTGTACTTTTCAGCCACACCGTGATTTCATTTGAGTGTTATTAACGGTGCCGCAGAGAGCTCTGCTGGAGAGGTGAAGGGTATGTGAATGACAACTGCAGTATAAAGCCTGCTAAGCACAAGACCGGGCCAAAGACATGGACTCAAGTGGCACACCTTTTCAGTCATACAACATTTGATCCCACGTTAAAGCAAGCCAGCATGAGTTCAGTGAACAAAGACAACAAAGCGTTTGAGTCATTATTGCTAATCAACTTACATGCTGTGCTGTACCAGAGGTTTTTGAAAATGATGCACAATTCCATCATGATAGTGAGAATCGTATTCCTCATGCACGTCATGCAATGTGTCAGCTTGAAGTTAATTTCATGACAAAAGCATCAAACTTATATGGCTAACAATAGGGGCGCACCAATGTCTGTCTTTGCAGCTTTAGTGATGTGCTGAGATTATCTGGTGTGCAAACGACAGCTGTTAGACTTGTTAAATCCACCAGGGGGCACTGCAGGCCGCTGGTAATTAAATGCTCATTGATTCACTGCCAGTAAAGAGAGCCTTCTTACCAAGCCAGCTCCTGTTCAGGTACACTGACACAAACACTGGAGGAACGGTGAAGAAGTCCACCACAGAGTTCACCTCCAGCCAGAACCACAGCTTGTCATTGGCAGCAATAAACTGCGAATACAAAGAGTAGAGTAAAAATTTAAAAAAGAGAGAAATTTGCTACTTTCAAATGAAAACACAAGAGAAAATCACAGAGGAAAATTCATAAATCTTCCCTTAACGGTTTCCCAATAAGGACGTAATCATGACTTCTTCTTTACCCTTATTAACAAGTTTTGACACCTTAATATATATCAGCAAAGATGTGGTTTGATGACCATTAGAATAGGTTCCTGGGTTTTTCCCAGGGTAGCTCCAGTTAAGCTGTATAGGCAAAGATCACCCTCACTAACTTCTGATGCATGCAGTCAGTTTGTTCTGGAAGCAAACATGACACAAACTGCTCAGTTTGGAAAAGAGAAACAAGGGCTACATATAGTAGGCATCCAACGGGGAAAGAGTTAACTGAGATGGGACTCTGAGTTCTACTTACACGGAGGCCAAAGTAGAGCAAGAAGAAGACGTTGAATGCCATGTCAATCTGCAACGTGAAGTCTTTGTAGAAGTTCTGACAGGACTCGATGGGACTGTTAGACAGAGACAAAAACAAAAGATGCTCATGTCCAAAGGCAGGTACTGACAATGGAGTGTGAAAACACAAGGTCATTTCTTTGAAATCAAAATGTTTCATGAAAAATAAAACATAAAAGATGCATTCTTCTTTTCCTGAAAATGCATTTTTAAGATTTCCAAAAAGAAGAGAAAAATAAGTGCTCAAAAAAGTGCAATAATAAGTGTTTTCCAATGTTTTTTTCTGTTGAGAAAGGGCATGCATTTATTGTCACACAAGCAGTAACTTGTTGCTGTACCTGATTAACCCTTAAATAACTGCAAAGCAATGTATCTGAAGAATATGTTGAATTCCCAGAGCAATATTTCACATTGAAACGGTGCCCCGTTCCCATGAGTCTTGCATTTCCCATCTGATATGCAAACATTTCGCATAAATATTAGATCAAACGTGATGGAAATGCAGAGGCAAAGCAGTATTTTAAGGGTTAAATGCATGCAGGGTTCATGTCTCTCTTTTGGTTTAATGAAATCAAGCAGCCATAGCAAATGCTAGCAATGTAGTGAAGTCTCACCCTTAATAAGCTTGTATCTGGCACAAAGAATTCAAATAAAGAGAAATAATTAACCAAGTAAATGTAATAGGTTAGTATGATTGCGTACCAATATTCATGTCCTGAAAGTAAAAAAAAAAAAAAAGCCTTAATTATTATTACTAACACCTAAAATGAAAACACAGGCTTAGTGCACATTTAAAATAGAACAAGACTGAGAAACAGTAAGGAGTTAAAGCATTAACTGATTAATAAATGTTTTAATGAACAGCTGATAATTTATGTAAACAGTGACTGTTAGTTGTGTTAAAGTGGGAATCTGCACTGTAGTAATGAATCGGTTAGTCACTCTAGAGCAAGTTCATGTACGACAATTTTGCTGCTTTTAGCCACAGATGAAAACTTTTGATTTTTTAGACCATTCATCATACAAATTATATTTGTCTATCTAAGCTCAAAGAACTTTTTTATTATGATTTTTTATTATTTTTGATTTCATCCACAAAATTGGCTGATAAACTTTTGGGTTTTTTTCCTGCAAGCAGAGACTGCACGTAGAGTTCTTTTGAATCACATTAGCTCCAAGCAGGTATCTCTCATGGATTTAGCTTGTTGGCTCTCTTTACCTGCAGGGCCCCTACACTTGAATTCACAAGCTTCGCTAATGCACACTGTTCACCAGCTGCAGTTCTCCCCTGTGCTGTTTAATACCACTCGGATTAAGGCAAATTGCTTTTGTTACGTGAAAAAAAAACTCTAATAGCCTCCCTGTGATAAAACACTATCCCCGTGGAGTACACAAAGTGATTATTTTTTTGAACCAATCCGATACAGAGCAGTGACTCCCATTTGATCTTTAGCTTTAGCATCACTGATGTGATGATGACTGATAGCCGTCAGGTTTCATCCCAGTTCTATTTGAGGATCTATTCTCTAAACGTTAGCTATATAGAGACTTCATTATAGTTCTGTTCAATTTTAATGCTTAATTTTTTTCTACAACCTTCAATGACTCACTAAGATATTTAGTGATTCTAATTAAAATAAGACTTAGTAAACCTAGAATGGTTTGCATCCTCAGTGTACAACAATACAGTACTTAATGTCTGCATTCCTCTTTTTATCTATTCAAAATTTACAGAGAAGGTGGTGAAAAATAAAATCCTAACTCATTTTCTCCATGGCATCTCTAAGAATAGCCCATGCTGGATGGTTCTGCCCTCGTTCACCGTAATGACACATCGGTCCAGTAAATCCCCATCATTGCAGGATGACAGACCACACACAGGCAGATCTGCAGAGCTAAATAATTGAGTTCCAGCAGGCCTGGTTTGGAAGATGTCTAGGAGTGTTATGGATCATGAAACAGCCCCTGCCCACAGCAGATCTGGTCTCTCCCTCCTTCATTCAATTCAGGCTCAGATCAATCAAGATGGACCAGCTCGCATGTAATGGGGCTTAATGCTGTCTGACGATACTGTATGTGCATATATTTTGCAAAGTAAAGGAATATTTTCATACAAATTCTGAGAATATTTAAGACTTTTATTGTTTCTACCAGCTCAAAAAGACAGATAATTACATCAGTTGGAGATCAAAATAGAGCTAAGAGGAGATTCTGGATGTATACATAACCACTTGTTTCAAATCCAACATAATTTCTTTTTGTCAGTGTTAATGTTCTCTTCACAAGTGGTGAAAAAAATCAGCTACTGCCTGTTAAAGGTAACTCTGGGTTTTGGTTTGTCACATGTACTGTATATAAAAGATGGACGTAGATTTCAGGTCTAAAAAAAGCCAAGTCAGTGTTCAGGTGCGCAGGCCTCAGTCACACAGTCACCCGGCCGGCAACCACATAGTATCCACTGGGTGCTACAGGGAAATGTGTATTCCTCAACAGGTTGGCGAGCTAGTTAAAATCAGTCTAAGATGGTGATACATCAAAGACCTCCTCCTGATTGCTTTGGTTGCTAACAGATTGGCATAGTTTCCCATAGTCTGCATGGAAGATGTCCGCTTGTCTGCAAACACTCACTAATTATCCACGAACTCTAGTGAAGCTTGAAAAATTGCGACACAAACCTACAAGTTGTGCTGTACCACTGAAACCAACATGTTTCAAAAAGTAGCGATTAGTTGCAGAGTGTTTTCAGATAAGTCTGCATCTTCTATGCAAACTATGTGTGATGTCAGTACCTCAAGGAGGCTTTTGCTGCAGCATCTTTTGATTGCAATTCAGTTTCATCACTGGTAACCACTGGTAACTTTTATTTGGGAAACACACATTTTTCCCTAGTGAACAGTGGTTGCAAGGTGGTTGCCAACTGGTCTCTAGGGCTATGTGACTGGGACTTGGATCTGCATTCTTTCTAATAAATTCATCATTAAAGAGCCTACTGATGAGTTTACGGTGTGAACTGAATAAAAAAAAGGTGGTCCATTTTGTAAATATGGTCAAAAAGGAGGAAAAGCAGGATATGATTTGACAGCACGATAGCTATGTCCATCTTCTATATACAATCTAAGTTTGTTAGCTGTATATGAAGTCTAGAATCTTTGAGTGTTTAAAGTCATTATTGAAATAAACAACCAAACTATTTAAAACTAAGAAGATAAAATGAAAACATGTAATAGTTTGTTAGTATGGGACATCTCTCCAGCTGATCAGGTGATCCAGACTTACAAATGACAGTTACATAGAACCATGACGTCCACAGTAAGACAAAACTCGAGATTTATGAATTAGAGCTCCATGTACAGACCTAAACCTCCTCTGTGCAGCTCACAGCTCTTCTCTGAATATAAGTGGGTCTGCTATGTTGACATCTCTCTCCATGTCACTTTAAGTTAGGTCAGCCTGTCCATCATATAACAGCCTCGGCAAGGCTTGCACTAATTACAGGAAGGGCTATATCTGTTACAGTCTGCTGCCACTTGCGAGAGAGCAGCTAACTGGCTGCTCTTTGGCTCCAAGTAGTGAAAAAATGGTGTCTGAATAATAGAAAGACCTGGATAATACTGACTGAAAACTCAGGCAGAGAGCCTCATTGGACTAATATGTAGATAAGTCAGCAAGCAGGTGCTAGGGCATCAGTCCTTCTACATTTAACAAAGCCTCTTCTTATGCATGACGAGTTTAAAGAGAGAGAGGTTGAACGTCATCCTCCATCAGGTGAAAAGGCACTCGGAGACACTACAGGCAAGTTCTGAGAACAGGAGGCCACAGATGGCATCGGTAAGGATGTAACTCTATCTGAGCTTGTCCAGATAATGAAATGAGATCATGCTTGCAAACCACATCAGAGCAAGCCAAGCCCTCAGCTGTACGTCTTCTTATGCAATAACAAATAAGCTGGACGTGTGCCTGCAGGAGGCTGATTATATGAGTTTACAGCTCATTTTCCTTTCTCTGCTTTAACATTACTCCCAGTGGAGACTCACTGCGGGCTTGATAGAGGCTTTTATCCTGGCGTGTTTTACCCCACTTTCTTAATGACACTGTGTCCAAACACCACAAGGCCGCAGTAACAGTATACTGCCTCACATGTAGCTTAAAGAGCCTTCCGCTTCCTCTAGTCTGATTACCGATGGCGATTGTTTTGAACAGGAAATTTTGGACTTTCCTGCCTCTTTAAAAGTCTGATCCTTTCATTACAGAGATTAAGCAAATTTCATCTGTGAGCTCTAGCTGGTCGTCAGCGGAGATCGCAAAGGAGGACCGGAGCAGTTTACCTGGAAAATGATTGGATTAAACAACAAACAAGCAAAAAATAGCAAGCCTGTGTTCTAAATGCCATATAACCATGACAAAGCACTCAGTGTTATTAAGGCTACCTTACATGAACTTCACATTCATGTGTCTGCACTACTACAAATAGAACTACAATAGATTTTAGCAATTTAGACTGTAATGTAACAGAAATATCAGCAGCGTTATTATTACACTTTATATTTATTTCCCTGGAACTAAACTGCGGTTCTTTGTAAACTGAATTAAGCTAATTCAAACCTGACTGACTTTTTCTAATTGCACTGCGCTCCCCTGCAAATTTTCCACCATTAGCTAGTTGGATCAGACGTTAAACAGTCATTAACCTGCTCCAAAGTCAACATAATGTCTGAAAGCACCAGTTTGTACCCATATGCGAGTGACGCGGGTATTTCTCAGGTGAATTCACAGTGAGTGAGTGGTGAGTGACCATTACATGTCCTGCCTTCTGCACACTACACCGAGGAGTGCTTCCAGAAGTAAGGATGAGGCTGGCAACAAGACGACTTCAGACGATGACCTGAAAATTTCCTGGAGCTCATGACTGAAAACAGGTTTTGAGGCCAAGGACAGCAAAACTGAAGAACAAACTTCTGATATCAGTTTCATTAATCCATCTACAGACATGCTCTGATTGGTAGAGCTGCTATGAGGTTACATTTCCATGAAGACTGCGTCTAGCTATGAGGTTACTGATCTTAAAGTGAGTCATATCAGTTAAACTCTCAAAAAACTGTGAGCTACAGGGGAAAAGAAAAAATTACAGAGTAAGTTTAAAGCTAATTACTTACTCAGAGGAATCTATGAAGTATATCACAAGGGCTCCGATGCTGAGTGCAAAAACGAGCACCACCTGCAGAGAATGGGAAAAAATATATATTTTTACTTTAAGTTGAAGTGGTACAGTACAGTATATACACATGCACACTGGACTAGACAGTAGTTTTTTAATCTTTAAGATGTATTGATAAATGGACACGAGCCACATTTGTCTCTCATTATTTCATTTATTTCACTATTTTAACTGATTTAACAACTTTTAGAAAATGAGAAAAACAAGTGGATTAGGTTGAAATACGATGACATATTAGCAAGCTTGAAAAAAATCAAATACATTTAAATACTGTACAGTTTACACCATATGGATATTTGTCTTTGCCCAACAAAGAAAAAACAAAAATCCCCAAACGGTTTTGGTAACAACTTCACCATAAACTGATCATCATCTGGGTTTCAGAGTCATGTCAAAACAAACCGAAAATATCTCCTGATTGTTTAATTCCACGACATCAGAAAACCCTGAAACGCAGCATGTACATAACAAATGTTATACATAGCAAATATTAGATGGCTATTAATGAGCAGACCTTGATGCACCTTGCCAGCCTGTTATTATTGTGTTATATAAACCAAAAAGAAAGAGTCACAGTGTCACAAACAGACTACAGTGTTACTGTATATCTGACAGCATAAATAAATACGCAAGAGCTTGCCTCATCATGTAAATTGGCAGTGGAGGTGTGGGCGGAGTGACAGAACGTGGCTTCAGCTTTCGGAGATGCAGCTGAGCCTGAAGCTTCGACGTTGACAGTGAAGCAACGCGATAATAAAAACCAGGGTGTCGCTTTTACTCTGTTCACGTTGCCTTCTTCTGCAGGGAGAAGACACTGATGAATAGATCCAAGTCTGGAAGTGGCCAATAGAATCCCAGGCCAGGAGGGAAGCAGGTTGCGGGGCAATAAATATGACTGTCAGTGATGGCTCTGACACGGAGTGAGCTTAGGTGAAACCTAATCACTTCTGCCAGCCCCACAGGAGTTATAACGACAGCATATCTAGTGATGGAGAAACCAAGATTAGCTGATCCGCCTTCGTTTCAGTCTACCCGTGTTCTCACCTGACAAAACTACTAACAGTGAAAACCAGGGAGTACTCCCTGTATTTGTCCAACCAAAAAAGGCAGCTGAAGATTATCAGAAATACGGGCCAGAAGATAAAAACCTCTAAAATCTCTAACTACAGCACTTTTTTTTTTTTTTTTTTTTAAAAAGGAAAGTAGGCTAAAAAGCAGATAAACCAGTTTATAAATCTTACATTTTGCAATGCAGCTGTTGCACAACCAGTTTTCTGCCATTTGGAATGGGGAAGACCTAGATTTTTAATCCTTTAAACATAATGTTAATGCTACAGCATCATCAATTGACATTTATAAGTCAAAAAGCACAGCAGCTTATTAAAACCGTTGTGTGTCCTAATTTTCCTTTTTACAGCCAGCGCTAATGTAGACGAGGGCGCGATCCCTGAGAGACATAAATAAGAACAGAAAGGTTTCTGCCAGACAGCAGAACAAATGTTCTACATCCCGAAATACACTAGCAGGTTATCTGCAAGCCTAGCTGGCTTTCATCTATTTAGAAATGACACAATGGCCATCCTGAACAAGAAACCAATGGGCATGCATAATGAATGAACCCTGGTTAATTCATTTCCATGATGTGAAATTGTCTTGTCAACTTGCAACCGCTGATGGCTCTGTAATGACAAAAAGCACCCGCATGCATTTTTAATCATCCCCTCTTCTTTCAAAGCCAGGAAATCTCTTTATGCCTCTGACTGTCCCAGTTTAGAAACTGGAAACAATGTTGCTGCAACCCTAGAAATGCTAATCCCAACAGAAGATGACGACTCAGCAACGGCAGTAAATAACACACTCGGGCCGTTACAATGACTGGGCAGTCATGACTCGGTTTGTCAATGAAGCGACATCAGGCAGTGGCAGCGTTCATCATTCATCTCTGTCATCCCATAATGATGCATCACATCTGTATATTCAGCCTTCCTCGGATGTTTGCTGGCAGATGGCTCCATCCACAAGGAGGCACAGAGCTCACAGAGAGGACTGACCACTCCTGCATGATAACCAAGGGAGCTGCCACGATATACTCAACTCAAATTTGCATTTATTTTTTGACAACATACTCTTACTTAATGCCAGCGTAGACTGCAAGTCAAGAAGAAATTTGCATTAAAAGACATCATTTTCCCAGAAATTTAAACAACTGTTCAGTGCCAGGATGAAAAACGTTGCATCTTTACGGGCAGGTTTCAAGTCATGCCACAAGTCACTGGAGGCAAATCCAAGAAGTTTGAAATTTAAAAATAATCCTTTTTAAATCAGTATTTTGTTACACAGCTGAAAGGAAGCACTTTTGATCTCTTGGTGTTAGATTTTTCAGTTGGGTCTTCATGTTGCACTTGATGATGCACAGATATATTATCTAAACATTGTCCTCGGTGACTATTATCGGCCTATTTTCAAATGAGATGACATTCACGGCTGTCACTGGTTGATATTTATTCACTGAGTCGCATCAGTTGTAAATGGTTACATTGTCAGAGACGGTATGATGAACGGGCAGCACGGTGTTACGGCTACAACCAGCTGGAGCCTTCCTGTGTGAAGTCTGCGCGTTCTCTCCGTGCTTCAGTGGTTTCTCTCTGGGTGCAGTCCAAAGAAGTGGGTTGGTTATGCTAATTAGCCAACCTAAATTAGCCGTAGGTGTGAATGTGGGCATGAATAGTTATTAGTCTACATGTTGTCCAGGGTGTACCTCACCTTTCACACTACGACAGCAGGAATAGGCTCCAGTGCCCCCACAGCTACCTTGGATTGGATCAGCAGAGTTTAATGACTGTGATAAAGAGGTGGGAATCTTTAAACCTCTTACTTATTTAGTTTTTGAATACCTGGCATAAATAATGGTGAATTAAAAAACATTACACATTTGTGGTAAATGTGTCTTTGGACAAGGTTTGGCTTTTGCGCTGTACCCATGACTAATGGTTATCAAGTGTTTCTTGATTTAAATGTGAAAAGGGTTTTAAGTAGGGTTGCTTTTAAGATTTTATCACTTGTATGTCTAAGGCTTTTAAGAAAAAACACTAAAACTTGGAATTTAATCTGAAAGAAAACTCACAAGAGAAAGCTTAACTATCTGTGAAGCAATCTGCATAAATAATTGACCAATTCAATAAGAAATAAATAGACAGAAAAGAACAAATTTAATTTTTGACTCCAATATCATCAGTGATGCTGTCTATGGTGTGCAGGGCTGCAGAGTGCACAAGCAGGTCTCAAGCCTTCAGAAGGCAACCTGCAAACATCAAAAAACCCACTCATTCTCCTCCACTCTTCCTGAAGTGTGACTCACCATCATCATGTACATACGAGAGCTGGCATCTAACACAAAAACTTCTATTTTAATAATAGTTAAACGTTGTAAAAAATTGGTAAAAGGAAATGTAAGAGGTGAAGACTGACAGTAGCAGAAATTCAGAATGCGATAAATTAATTTTTCCCCATTAAGAAACCCATAAATAACTTCAAATAAAGGATCTGGATCTTTTGAATGGTCATTAAGATTTTTGTTGGGGAAGAAATGTGCTAATTCTGCAATGGAAGTCTCTCTTCCCCCGACAGGAGAGGGAGAACCACCAGTAACCAGTTTGCCCCACATTCTCTTAAAGCGTGTAGTAAATATAGGATCTTGATAAACAGTAGATGCGTTGAGAGTTGGGCACAGCAATGCTTAATCCCATTTGTTTATGGGAGCAGAAATCTCTGACCTAATGTTCCTTATGGATGACTGTCCCACAGCAGCTTCAACCACCACACGGTGATGCTTTCCAAAATAAAATGACCTAAGGACTACCCCGGGAAACTCCAGCCAGCCCATCTGTCTGACCTCAAATGCTACATTGATTCATGAGGTATCTCGTGCATACCACAAAAATACAGAAAGGCACAAGAGAGACTGAATAAGTTGATGTGCTATCATTGAGCTGAAAAGTATTTGTAATGCACAAGGTAAGATAACTTTAAACTTCAGATTAGTTTTCTTAAAGGACAAAGCACAAAATTAAAATTGCTGCAGTCTCATATATATAAATATATATTTATGTTTTTTTTTACTTCACTGAAAACTGATTTAGGATTTCTGTGTGAGATGGGAAAATACAGTCTGTGAGATCAGCCTTGGTCTGTGAACAATGCTGTAGAGTCTTTATGACTGTTCTCAAAAACTACGCTTCATCCTTTTCCCGAGGTGATAACAGCAAATTAGCATGCTTACAACAACAGCTGTAAACATGATTGAGTGCAGCCTTGACAAACACAGACAACAGATGAACATCTTAGACATTTGCAGTGTCATTGTTGACACAGTGCTGTTTCAGTGGGCAGCGCATGCAGTAGGAAAACCCAAGATTAGAGAGATGTTATAACTGGCCACCTGATTGATGATCAACTCGTAGCTGTAAATGATTTCTGAGTAATGTTTGTACCCAGCAACAGTTTAGAAACCACGGCCATATCTGCAGTTTTAGTTCTATCTTGTATTTTCATTACAGCAAGTAGCTGATATGTTCTATCTTCTATTAAGGACATCTTTGTTATTGCTGAATCTGGTTGAAATGGCCATTTGAATAGTCTAGAGGTGACACTGCAAATGGGAAGGGAAAATAAACTCTTACAACAGCAATAATAAACCGAATTATACGCGAAATCACCCGAAATCTGCTGTACATGTTCATCACTGACAGGCTAATAAAAAAGTTTTATTAGTATTTTAGTGATTTACAATTAAAATTTTGTCAATGAGTAGTTATAACTTTCCAAGCATCAGCAGACACAATTAAATATATTTAAATTAAATTAAAATACACACACAGACACACACACACAAGCACACGCAGACAGACAGACAGACAGACAGACACACACACACACACACACACACACACAGTTCAGCAGTCTTATATAGGATGCCCTTTCAGGTGCAAACATCCCAGGAA